TGCTATATATATGAATATGTAATATTATATAATTGTTTATTACCCAAATAGTAAATAATTAGTACAAATTTACACACTAGACCATATATGGTTTAGACCATATATGAATTAGTGCAAATTTACACACTAGACCATATATGGTTTAGAGCATATATTCACATTTAAAAAATAATTGTAATAAATTGAATTTCTTAAAGAAGATACATATACATCTATGTACCCATTGAATCAAAACTGTTACTTTTGAAAATATATGAATTAGTGCAAATTTACGCACTAGACCATATATGAATTAGTGCAAATTTACACACTAGACGATATATGGTTTAGACCATATATGTCATCTTTAATCATGTTGTGTTTAATTGTGTGTTAAGTCATTTTTAATCATGTTGTTTTTATTTATGTTTTATGATTTTATGTGTGTTGTAAACTTAATTTTAATGAAATAAACTTGTTTGAGTGTGTTAAATTTTTATTCATATAGTATCATTTTAATATTAAAAAATTGCAAAATAAAATTATAAACATCAATAAATAAAAAGCACAAAATTATTTAGCATAAAAAGTACATTACACAATTATTTAGCATAAAAAATACATTCACTAATACACATTATACAAAAATTTATCAATAATATTACAATAAAATCAAAAAAAAAAAAAAAAAATGTAACGCTGCTACAGTGTTGCGCCAGATGTGGCGCAACACTGTAGCTTTCTCCAAAATAGAGCTAATTTGTGGCGCAGCATTGGGGAGGGATTTTCGCTACAATAGAGTAGAGATGGGCTATGTGGCGCAGCATTGCGGAAGCTCTAAGTAATTTTATGGTCCGACCACTACCCACGATCATCCAAGCCAAACCATTATTACATATAGTTTTCTAAGTAATATTTTGGTCATATAGTTTTACTATAAAATGACGTATTGTTTAAAAGTGTTGAATAGCAATAACATGCATGTATTTTTCTTGAAAGTTATATTAATAGTTATTATATAAGATGACATACTGTTTAAAAAGATAAATAGGTATTATATGTAGTATTAATTAATAGTTATTATATAAGGTTTTTGATGTGCAAATTGTCTTGCACTGGGTTGAAAGCACAATCTTCACGAATTACTACTAGCTCGGAGCTCCAGCGACCTACAATGCGCCAGGACGAGTTCCGGAGTAGACACTCTGATGCTCAAGTTAATATGTGCTTGAGGGAGTATATCGATTGTAAATTAGAATGATGCGTGTATGTCATGTGTAGAATAAAAGAACTTGTTTACCCTTATATACTTAGGGTAGTTGGGCCTCCAAGAAAGTCCCAATTAGGAAAGAGATCCTCGCGTATCTATTTTTCTAACTCACCACCTCTCTAGGATCTAAGACTCCTCAGCAAGATACATTTTTTGTCCATGAAGTACTCTTTCCTCTTAGCCTGTGGCTATTAGTTACCCAGGTCGTAACCACGACCTCCTTAACCACTTGTCTTAAGTTGTGCCTAGGTTGCAACCATGACACCACTTTCATGACCTATATAGGTCATGAGGTCCCATCAAGTATCCGAGCTCCTTAAATTCTATCTGAATTATCTGAACTAGATCTACATGTACCCTGAGCTGCCTAAGTGAGTTCCCTAACAGGTATATGTATAAAAAAATGGGTTGAGCTCCCTTGAATAGACCACCAGAGCCGGTCCTAGATATATTTTGGCTATGGGCCAAATATACAATTAATGCCCCAATTCAATATTTTTTTACTTTGTCTATGTATATATATCAATAAAGAAAAATTCATTAAGTCAAGACGAACTAGAAAACCCAATCTAATAACAATGAAAAAAACACGTTTAATTTTAAACTTTTTTTTTAAAAAAAATAAAACATGTTTTAAACTCACAACTCCTGAAAAAGAGTTAATGCCTCGAGTGCCTTTTTTTGCGTTCATATTATGTAAAGTGAACAAGTAAATGTAAAGTAATTAATAATCATCATAAATTATTACAAATTTTGTTAATTAAATAACCATCATAAATTATCACAAATTTCGTTCTCCAAATTAAATTAAAAATGATATACCTTAAATAAGAATTATATAACTTTGAGATAGGTCAATTCAATATTTCAGTTAAATTACAATTGAAAAATAAATTAAATTAAAACTAAGACCCACCTCTACCTTCTTTTATTTCCTAATATTCTTGAAGGTGACCATATGTTGGTAATTTAAGTAAGAATATTACTACCTCCTTTTTTTTATAAATGTCATTTTGGCTTTATCAACAATTGTCTAAATAAATGACGTTTTGGATTTTTTGTACATATTTTTCTATTATTACCCTTATCTAGCTAATAAATACACTAAGTCTTTTCATAATCACTCTTTATCTTTTCTCAAAACATTTATTTCTATCCTCATTAATGAGGGTTATTATTGATAAAAAAAAATATTCTTAATTAATGTGCAACTTCCCAAAACGACATCTATTAAAAAAAAGGAAGGAGCATATAAAAACAGAGAATGAGCATAAGAAAGATAACAAATCAATTATCAGTAAAATTGGAATTGACTGATTAATAAAGACGGTCATGGCACATTCAATTTCGGGCTCACAACTTTAGATATTCAAGAGGAATTTTGTGTGAATTTAATATCATAATGTGAAAAATAATTATAAATATTTGTGTGAATTTAATATCATAATGTGAAAATAAGTTTTATTTATAATATAGAGAAAAATAATTCATGGTTTTAAAATTTATATTTTCAAGATTAACTTTTTGTTGGATGTGGTTAAAAGAGAGATAATTAGGGAAGATGTGGTGATTGATTAGGAGACAGATTTTTATAGGGAAAAGGGGATGGAGGGAATCGAGGCGGTCCTTGTTATTATTATTATTATGTACACTAACATGCGAAGAGATTTTGTTTTTTAAAAAAAAAAAAAAAATGTTATCTAATAATGTGCATTTATGAGGCCCCAAGTAAGAAACGGGCCATGGGCCGTCGCCCAGTTTGCCCAGGGCCAGGGCCGGGCCTGTCGACCACGACCGAGCTAACTATTAGTCGGTTCACCGAGCTATTCTGGGTGCTATATCATCTAGCCCCCTAATTCTTGGACGACTTACCTTGACTTGTACAACAATTCTCTACTTGCGCCCAACTGACGTGCCAACATTAAATGCCACAAATTGTGCGACCTTACCCACGCTTGTAAAAAATGTCTCTTAAAAAACCTTGGCATGTTTCTTTTGATTTGCGCCGTGGATAATTTTTTCAAAATCAACGCCTTTGATCTGTCGACCTTTGGCATCCCAAATTCATCTCCCTTGGTAAAATCCAGACCACCCATGTAACGCCTCGATTTTTCAAAAGTGAAACGACATTTTAAAGGGGGCATTAACAGATTTTAGAAAAATCTTTGAGCCAAAAATCAACATTTCAAATTTTAAACACAAAGGTGATTCAATATTTATCACTGCGCACTCTGATAAAATAACTCATAAACAACTTAGCATAATTAAACTTTGAGAACTCAACGACAACTTCAACATTTTCTCAAACTCAAATCATACTCATAAACTTCATATCATAACTAAAATCGAAAAGGAATCATAATGCGTTCAAACCCAAGTTTCAAAGTCTTAAGTACAACAAAAGCACGATAATTAGAAACAATATGTCATAAGCTCTAAACCACAAAACATAATCCCAAATGAGCAATTCAACCAATTAAACATAAAAACACCAATTTATTTGCAAACGACCACCACATCGTCTAGTGTCTCGACGTCAGCTCCTCAACCTGAAAATGATAGTAAAGGGTGAGTATGGAACGACTCAGTGGAGTTGACTGTTCAATTAATCAACTTAATAACCGACATCACCATAATTGTACACACGCCCTGGAACTTGTAACATAGCATGATAGCCTGTAGGTTAAAATTTTTAGAACATGTTGTCACGCGACTCTAGGTGCGCTAGTAGATTACCCGTCGGCCATAAATACTTGGACACTTCACCTGAAGGCACTTGAATACTTCTGCCCGAAGGCCATGGAACGTGTAGTCACGTGACTCTATAGCACCTAGTATATTGGCTCGTCGGCCCCATAAATAATATTGCCCATAGGAATTTTGACATGTACATACAATCATAATCATATTAAGCGATTAACAAGAGTAAGAGCGTAGAAACCCCTACCTCGACTTGAAGTACTCAAAAATAAATGAACGGTCAAATGCACGCCTCAAGAACTCGACCTCTCGAAATCTACATTATTAAATTATTTAACATAAATGCAACCTTCTACTCATCTCATTATATAACTAATTTAATTAGATTTAAATTAGAGCTTCGACTTAAGGTTTTGGAAAAAGGTTATCGGCTCGACTAATAATTAATAAAAGGCTCGGAACATAGGCGTTGCCCCCGGTGATTTGGCTAAGGTGTGACAATGGAAAACGGGTCGTCGAGGGTCAATGGACTAGGGTCTCGCTTCTATCCGGTGACTGTTGGTGGTGCACGGGCGCACCTGGGAGTAGCTCGGGTTGAATTGGGAAACGAAGACCACAAAGTAATTGGTCTACTAAAAATGTGTAAAATTCCTCAGGGGATGACTGTAGACCTCGGAGGAGCGAGGAGCTCGCAACTCCCAATCATCAGAAAGCATGAACTTGTCGAGCTTGGCTTCAAGAGCATATCAAATTGGGTTTAATTTTGTTATTTTAGCTACAGGACAAACTTAAGTTACAACATGAAGTTTTAGGTCGAGGATGGGATCAATAATATGTACAAGCATAGTTTTGCAACGTGGAAAGGTATACCCTGGGGATAATAATTGACACTAGAAGACTCTTTGGTACTCAAAGACCTTTGGGAACCTGAGGATCTTTCAGCTCGTTCGAGCTCATCCCACCCTACCTCACTTTTAGGTTTATCAACCATCCCTCGAGAAGGGCAAAGTCGGTCAGCCAGAGCCAGCTCATGACCAATTATTTCTAGTGATTACAGCTCAGTGTGCTCGTCAATTAGTATGTTAACGATATCATTGGAATTTGATAAAGACATATCTATAATACAATTCGAAATGAAATGTAGGTCGAAGCTAAAACAAAACTTGAGAAAAGGTGTAGCTCGAGATAAAAACACCCAACACAATTGAAAACTACAGAAAATCAGATCAAATAGAGTTTCAAGAGAGAGAGAGAGAGAAATGAGGATGAAAAGAAACAGAAGAAAAGAAAGAACTTATCAAGAACACAGACATGTAGGGCAGAACAAAATAAAGGCGATGAAGTTACGAAATCTTACTCATGGTGATCTGAGAAAGCAGTCGGAAACTGAAGTCGAAAGTCGAAAATTTGAACGGTGGAGTTGCACATGCGAGGTTTAGGTTGCAAAGATCTCATGAAAATTATTTTATGGTGAAGGAATGAGGTATTTATACTCGAGTTGAAGGATTCTAGGCCCTTGGATCATGTGTAAATCAAGAGCTCAAATCATGCATGAGAATCGAGGGGACACTTTTTAAAACTACTATCAAGCTAGGAATGAGCTGAGATATCGGAGTTTCAATCAAATGAAGGATGCACTCTTTAAGCGGAACTGTAACGAGCGGACTAGCTACATATAATATGATGGCTGGAGCAGCTACTTTCGAAGTAACAGAAAGAAAAGCAACGACCTTTTTCCCTTTAGGGATAAGCTTCTCTGGTTAAACTGGTTTACACGACGAAGAAGTTTGCATTTAGACTAACATGTCAGAAATATCCTTTCATATTATGACTGTTTGACCTTACTATATAGCTCTAGTTACATTTCGGGGGGAGGAGGGGGAGACTAGGATATAGCCATGGCTCGGATAAACCAGATTAACACCAAAGTACAACATGTTGGTCGGTTTAAAGGTAGATAATGTCGACGAATGGAGACCAGGTACATAAATAAACTGGAGAAGCTTGAGCAGACCGTCTGGACTAGGATGACGACCTAAAAGACTAAGATGGATCTGGAGTAAACTCAAAGAGAAATGTAACAGCTAAACAGGTCATATGCCTCATCATAAGGCTGAAAAACCTATCGGACTTGGATAAGGGTAAGATAATTTGGAGAATGCCCGACCTAAACACCTGAGATCTATTAACACTCAGCAATACGACCTAAGGAACTGAGACCTACAGGCATCCATCACCAACGACCTCAATAAAGAAGAACCTATGGGCATAAAGATATGAGTAATCATGGACCTAATTAGGATAAAGAAGAATCTAACTAGGATAAGAGTGAAATCAAGATAATAATTAGTTAGTGAAGAAAAAAATATTTAGACATGTTCTATTTTATATTATATCATTTATTTTATATATTTTTCTACATATAAAAAGACTTCTACATTTTTTAAATGTCGCATTGGATTTTTGGAGCTAGGTGGCAATGAAATATAACAATCCATTTACAATTGGAGATGCTCTAAAACTGTTATTTTCTCTTAAATCAATGAATAAATATATATACTAAAATCAAATTTATGTTACTATAAATGTGTTAGTAAGGTAATATATTAATTATTTTACAAGTTATCCCTAACATGCTCATATTTAATGTTCTACTTAAAAAAACGTCGATTAAAAGAGATGGAAATAGATTACAATCCTATTCTTTTCTACACGCTTATTAAAGAGGTAAAAAATAAATGATAACCCTATTAATTTGTAGACTTAAATGGACCGGAGCATGTGAAAATAATTTATTTAATACAAATGGCCAGGGTTGAAGTTACATTAATAAATGCAGTGCATCCTATGCTCGTCTTGATCAAGCTTTATCAACACATCAGATTTAAATCTATTTATTCTCCACTCTCGTAAAAGGAGACAGAGAGGAGAGAGAGAGAGAGAGAGAGAGAGAGGCTAATTTCAGAGCTTCACAGTTTTCTGAATTTTGGGACAACTAACAGTCCCTGAAGAGAAGCTAGGAAAACGAAAGCCCCAAAAGGCAAAACCCTCTTCGCCTTGTGGTCAAGCGGCCACATTTGTTAATTTCATGATGAGAAGCTAGGTAAACAAAAGCCCCAAAAGGCAAAACCATCTTCACCTTGTGCTCAAGCGGCCATATTTATCAATTTGACCCTCTCCGTGCGTATCTCTTTCTGCAACTGCTGGAATTGAAATGGATCCCGAGCAGACGTTCATAAGGGTGCAGGAAAGATTCTCTGAGATGCTGACTCCGAAAATCAGAGCCAAGCTCGAGTACTTTTTCCTATTTTTGGCCATCACCCTTTTCTGTATTCTCGTCGTCATGCACGCTAATTATGTCCAGCAGGTTCGGCCCAAGATTGTTACAGTTAACTTTTCCCTTATTTTTTTTTCGTTTTTTTTATGTACCCACTTAGTTCTTTAGTTGCTTGCAGTCAATTTTTGACATTTCTGTGTGAAATTGTCGAACGATTTGTTATCTCCATGTGTTTGTGGCTTTCGTTTTTCTATTTAACGTTGTGATGATTCTTTTGCTCTCTGCATGTGAATGGTGAAGCCTGGCTGTTCGAGTGAGTTCTCGAGTGTGCAGTTGTCAGGTGCCCAGCTTATTCAGATTAGGGTAATCACAGTTTTTGCTTTCTTTCTTCCTTGGGTTGTATTTTCTCTTAGCTATTTATTGTATCTGTCGAAATTTATTTGCTTGTTGTCCAAAATAATCTGATATGGCGCAAGTGGTGTGATGCATTGTCACGTTAATTATCATAATCTTGCTTAACCCAACTATCGACTTTCTGGGATAGTTGATCTTCACGATGAAAACGCTGTAGCCAACCTTCTGTTCTACAACACGGATATCTTTTTTCAGTTGTTTGAGCTGCCTTTGGATTTTACCATCTCGTGCAGATCACCAGTGCTGGCTTGTGGTCGCATAATGATTCTGCGAATGGTGTGGTGGATGTTCATGATACGGAAGCTGCTTCTGAAACTCAAAACCCCCTTAATGTGGAGGAAGATGGTTCACCTCATTCGGCCTCAAAATCGTGGTTAAGTTGGATAAGCTCTGACATGAGGAGGCTGAAATCTTCATTAGATGTTTGGAAGAGTGACATTGATGTTTTGGTGTCTGACCAAGAAGTTTCTATCAGCAGTGAAAGATTTAAGCCAGCCTCTGATGATACGCCAGTGAAATCCAGTAAAGATGTTCAATGGAAGAGATTTTTTATTTCGCCCAAGGAGTTCCTAAGAGCAGCAATTATCCATATCGGCAAAAAGTGGCATGGGCGCTTATCTTTCTTTCTGAGGTTCACAAGGCGAATTCTTGGAGGTTTATGGGTTAGAAATATGTTATATATTCTTTTCTCTTCACTTTATTTGCTTATTTATTTTTAAATTTTTACTAATGCCTTTTGATAGTTCAGGTGCGAACCATTTCATGATGAGAGCTCTGTTTACTTGAAGCTTTAATTAATCAGGACTCTGTTTCCATGTAGGATATTTCTGGTATAAATTTGAACTTCGACATTCCCAAATGGCTAAGAATCTTACATTTGGACAGACTCAACTCCTACGCAGGTTGCTGCTGTCTTTGCTCATCCTGCTACTGCACTAATTTGGTGCTTGGTTGAAGTTCTTTCAGCTTCAAATACTTATACTTGAATGTTGTGTACATAATTATTTTCTTACCGATCTGTTCTGTTCACTGTTTGCATAAAGAATGGAGATCCATAGTAAGATAATTGCAACATCTATTCTTGCAATCCAACTTCATCTTCATCATCTTTTTCTTCCATACCTTTTGTTTATTAATATTTTGTGTTTCACGTGTCTTCAGTCGTTGACCCTGAAATTTAACTGCTGTACTACTTGTGGAACTTTTATGGTAATTATTTCATTCATACAAATGTAACCTTATTGTGCTTATTGTATTAATGCAGTCCAGTGGCTCGAAAAGAGAAGCAATGCCTTCGAACCAGCTTATTTATATACCATGGAGAAGGTATGGTTTGTGGTTCATATTTTTTATGGTCCCTCTTCTGTTTGAGCTATTCCTCATTGTATCATTGTTCTTCAACCATATAAATGCGATAATAACTTCCTTCTTGTTTGGCTTTTGGTGTAGGGTTATTTCTTGTTGCCTGAAGAAGCCAGGTTAAAGCATGGAATTCATATCGCCAATATTAGCATTTCAGCCCGGCACAGTTGCTTTGGCAACCGGTAATACGATGCTTCCCAAGATTGTGGAATTGCCTGTTCAATTGACCTTTTTTTTTCTTTTCTCATTTTGTTTACATAGGGATGTGTGAGAGATTCTCGAATGGCTTTTGCTGTTACTATAAATAGTCATTTCTTATATTGTCAACAACTTATTTGATGTGTTGCCATGGCATTTAGAGACAAAATCTCTATTTTCCATCTCGTACATGGGACATGTTGGGCTGAAAATTTTTTTTGGAAATAAAGGCTAGAGACAACATATTCAGATAGGACAGTTGTTTGATGAATGTGTCAATTGGCTTGGTGGACATCATATACGCTAAACTCCATAAACATTTATGTTCTGGTTGCAATAAATACTATTACAACATAATGAGCTCAGGTACTAGAGGTGATGCTAACATGCCAGAGTTTTATAGTTGCATTGAATTTCATTCAAAGAAGATGATCATCACATGAAACCTGTATTTACAAGCAACAAACAGCAATCGTTTGTTTCCAAACTATTTATTTAGTTACATTGCCCTTGACAAAGCTCAAATGCCCTATTATTGGTGTTTGTTTTAGATCATTTTTGTTGGAAGGCATAGTTTATTGCACTATATTTTTTAAATTGGTTTGAGAGTGCTTCAATTTGGTAATCTTTGTGTTTCTATTCCGTTCTGTCATTGTTTACTTTCACAATTTCCACTTTTAGAATTTTTCTTATTTGTGATTTCCTTTCCCTTTTATTTTCTTTATCATGATGCTCTGGTTCATACCTCCCTGACCTCTCCCATCCCTCAGGCAACATTTAATTACTGTAAGCGACACATTGAGGTGTTTCACTGGTCATTTAGTATCTATAACTTTGATGAATGATTTTGTAAGTAAAAAACAAATAAAATATAATTGTTGTTTGCATGTCAATTATACACAAATAACTTGTCCTTTATTAAGTTTTGTTCCATTGCCATTTTGTGTATATCCACCTATAAGAGTAGGAGTGACAATGAATACGACATGATTAGGAAACACAATTATAGACAAATGACATGATAAGACACAACACGGTATGATCTGAAATATGACACCAAAACATGAAATGATGATTTAGCTAACTTTAGACTTACTATCATGTTTATGACCACATAAAAATAGTTACTACGACAACATGATAGTGAGACACGAACATGACACGAGAGCACGGTTTGCCACCTCTATATGAAAAATAGTAATACAATTCTCTAATTTATTTGTCATACCTAGCATGTGATGCATTCTGGGTTATTCATTTTACATGAATATCATCCATAGTTGATTTCTTTCTGAATTTGTTACACTTTAGTTTTCCATCCACAAAAGAGGTACCTTAAGTAGAATAGCCTCTTCAGTTTCTAAATACTGACATAAAGTAAACTGTTCAGGTGGCAGCAGCTGCTGATAAATAGGCTTGTCGGGTATGACACTATTCTGATGAACAGTTTGTTGAATTCCCCAGGCCTTGGTAACAAGAATTTCTTTTCATTCAACTTTATACCTAAGTTGTGTTCAATGGAATTTTTTTAATCATAGTTCTTTTGTTGCACCAACAACCTTAAAATATAGTTTTGAGTACTCTTCATTCTGACTAATCTTTCCTTGCTTTGCACTTTCCTAAAAGTTATATGGGTGAAGATTGTTTTACCACCGCCATTCGCTCCCAATTTGGTTCTCCCCTACCTATTTCTCTGTATCTCCTTTATGTGCAGTTCTCATCCTAATTTTCGGAACTTTCCCAAACCTGCATATTTTTGGATGTTATTCTATCACCACAATTAAGTATTTAGCTGAAACTTGCTTTCCAAACTTTATGAAATGTGACAATCCCATCTGTAGTTAGTTTCTGTTGCTCATTTTGTTGTAATCAATGTGCTTATTGCAGGTTATCTGTATAATTACCAAACAAGGGAGTTCTACAATCTTACTTATGCACATGAGCAACCTGCAAGCTCTGCAAAATTTGGAGGTGAACCTCCTTTTGCAATCTGTTTGACTACCAGAAATTTTTATGAAAAATAGCATTTGATGATGGTGCTCAATATTCTCAGCAGTTGATGTGAAATAGTGTTATATTGACATCTTAAGAATTCAAAATTTTAGTCCATCCAAACTCTCTTAATTGCTGATTTGCTCCAGTCAATTATGATTATGAATGGTTAACTGAAATAAATGGTTTCAATCTCACCTCAATAGTAATGAAAACTGGATACCTATCATCAGGTCTGTTCTTGTCTTGATAGTCTTTGGTATTGGTTAGGAAACTTAAATGTTTTTACTTAGTTGGAGCAAATTAGAATTTCTTGAGGAGCATAAAGTTGAAGTTAGCAATACAGTTAGGTAGACATTATTTGCTAATCCATTTAGCCGTCAGGATCCCAGATTATTTGCGGCCATTTACTTTATATTTATCCAATATCTTGAAAAGTATCTGCGTTAATGGTAATGCACAACTGATGTTTCTTTGCCTTCCTTGTTTCGCAGACTATCTTGTGACCAAGTGTGGCGTATTGATGATGTCACTTTTTGTTTTCTTCACAACCACGATGTCAGTTTCATTTACGTTGAGAGAGACGCAGACTCGCATGCTGAAGTTTACAGGTTTATTTGTTAGATGAGCTATTTATTTAATCAATCATCTTCAGCCGTATATGTGATGTCAAACTGTTGGCAACTTCTGTTGTTGCATTTGTAAGGCATATGTGAAGCTTTCATAATCATGAATCTGAACAGGTACGAAGCTTTAGGTCTCTCGACTCGAGTCTTACAGTTTCGACCATCACCAGTATTCTATAGCTGAAAGTTGTATCTATGCTCATGTTAATGTTGCTGGAAGCATACTTCCATTGTGAATATTTAGCATTTGGGCTGTTCACGGAGAAAGTTTCTTTATTTGGATTTTGGACCCTCTTAACTGCCATTCCCTTCTCTTGATCTTTTGCAGTGCAGCTCCAGCATCATGCTCGACACAGGCTTCCAACATTTCAATTAATTTTTGTGCATGTAATTGAATCACTTGTTTTTGTACCGGTGCGTATTCTGCCTTTCTTGGTGATAATCTGCTCTTTTCCCCTGTTTTGGCCTGATGTTCAGAACTTCAATAATATGATTGTTTATTTTATTTCCAGATAATGATTGGAATCCTATTTTTCCTCTTCGAGTTCTATGATGATCAGCTATTGGCTTTTATGGTTCTAATTCTTGTCTGGATCTGTGAGCTGTTCACACTCATCAGGTTGTTCTCTTTCCTCCATCTTCCTCCCCCTTTCCAAAATAAAGCATTAAAAGGATCATATAGACAAAACAAGGACAGATTTGAGTTTCTTATCTAAGAATGGCACTAATGGCCTGCTTCAATATTAATCAGGATTCAACATTGTTTAAACTTTGATTCACAATATTAAAATGAGCAGTTGAATGGGATTTGTGCTTCTAATTTTCTAACAAATGAAGCTACCTGTCATTCTTGTGTTAGGCTACCTGTGAATTGTTCAGTCTATAGGAGAAGAGAACATCTTTATATCATTGCACTGGTAGTTGTTCGGGACTTACCTTTTCGAGTATAATTGTCTAATATAATGTTAAGCTGAATCTCTCTACCTTGATTGCTTTTCGTTTATTTTTCGTTTTGTAATTGTCATTGTTTTAAAATTGGGATAGGCTCCCACCTAGGTGGCGCTAGGCGACACCTATGCCTCCCGATTTTCGTCTAGGCAGTCCTTCTAGGCGCACGGGCGATTAAGCGTCGTCTAGGTGGGCCAGGCGGATGCAAAGTTAGTCATATTGGTTAGGAGGTTCTTAGGTGCTAGCATTTTTATTTTTTAAAATGTTTTTAAAACATAACAAAATATATTTTATTTTATATACATGAATTATACATTACTTGTAATTTTTTTAAAAAAATAAGAATCATGTTATTGTTTCAAAACATAATAAAATATATTTTTCTTTTTATACATTTAATATACATTAATTCTAAAATTAAAAATAACTATCATGTTAAAACTAATTTAATAGTTTTGAATATATTTAGCACAATCTTTGTATTTGACCATATTAATTAGTATATTTCATATAATGTATCTTATGAATTATTTATGATGATGAATATAATAAATTTATGAATTTTTATACGATCCCGACTTGTCCTTGCCTAGATGTTCTAGGTGCTGGGCTCCAGCCTGCTGCCTAGCAACTTTTAGAACATTGACTAATTATTGAGAGTCTGAACTGTTCTGTGAGGAAGATGCATTAGTTGGACTCAGGACAGCGACCAATATGCCATTATCTCCTACTTTGAGCAAGCGAGCTCTGAGATCTCTTAGAGGCCTTCTAAAGGGAATGCCTATTTACCTTCTATCCCACTACTTGTTTACTTGTTAAATATGAAATAATTAATTAATTTCTTTTTTGACCTCCCAAAGGGTACTGAGTTGATATATATTTAGCCCACTTCCATGTATTCTATTTTTGATACTGTTCATCATGTTTTGCTTGCAGTGTTCGCACACCGATATCGATGAAGTTTTTTCCTCGATTCTTTCTACTCTACTTTCTGGTGTTTCACATATATTTCTTCTCCTACACATATGGTAACATATCAATTTCTTAGCTTTTGTCATTGCACTATTTACGTCATCAGCTTCCTCTAACATGACTTGCATTGCAGGGTTCTCTTATTTAGCTCTGTCAACCTCTGCGGCATTTATGCAACACCTAGTCCTCTATTTCTGGAACCGATTTGAGGTGTGTTATATATCTCAAAGTTACACTCTGTTTCAGTTATGAGAATCTTTCTTTGTTTTTTTCCCTGAAGTGAAATGTGAGATGGACATATATACCTAAGAGTGCATAATGGCTGGTAGAGTCAGGCTTTGAGCCTCCTAATGTTTAACTCGGAAGAATTTAAAAATAGATCAGCATAATTTCATTGAAGTGTAATAAGCATCTCTTAGTGTTATACGGGCGTGCAAATCCACGGCCACATGTTCACGGAAAGCAGAGATAAAGGTATGTACAGTCACGTGTTAGGATAAGTATTTCCTGCCACAATTATAGAAACCCCACGTATTTGAGGCACCAAGTGCTCAGTTGAAACTATTTCCTCGGGCACCTCCTGCACTAGAAGTGAAACATATGTCCCTTTTATTGCTACGGTTTTTCTTTTTATTCTCGAACCGAGTGATGTGCCATTTAGGTTCTTACCGTTTGCTTCTTTTGACTTTTTTTTATTTTTATTTTTATTTTTATTTTTTTTTCATAAATTTGTATTGGTGGTTATTATTATTATTATATTCCATAATAGATTGGATTTTTGACAAAATCTATCTTGCTTTCAGGTTCCTGCCCTGCAGAGGTTCATGCAAAATCGTCGGTCAAATCAGCAGCACCCAGATTTTCACATCACATCCTCAACCATTCTTGCCTCAACATTACGCATCACAAGATTAAACACAAGGAACAACACTGCATATATGGCTCCTGGACCAGTACCCAGACCCGCAGCCGATAATGGGAACACCGCTAGAAATGTTGCCACTGGATTTCCCGGTCCTCAGCCACAAGTCAACAATGATGATGATGATAACAATGACAATAACAATAGTAATACTAATAATAATAATAATAATAATAATAATCCAGATAGGATAGGCAATCCTCTTGATATCGGGGGACAACCAATCCTTCGTCAGCCAGAGAATGGAGGAGGTGTACCTGGGGCCATGAGTTCGTTTAGTTCCCTGTTGTTGTGGATCCTTGGTGGAGCTTCTTCAGAAAGCCTAAACTCGTTTTTATCGATATTTCGGGATTTTAGGTATCATGGCCAAGTCTATGCTGCTGCTGGACACCCACAGCAAGAAAATCATACGGTGCAGAACAATGAATGATAATAATAATAATAATTATCATAATTATTAAGTCTCCAATGTTTTCCTTTTTTTTTTCTTTGTTTTNCAGGTATAGAAGTTACTTTACTTGTGTGATTTTGCTATACTGTTGCATACGATTCTACAAAGTTTGGCATGTTTCTCTATGTGTCATAATGTCTAATACAATGTCTGACTTCCAACAGTGTGCTTGACATTAGTCAAGCCACGCACCAACAATTGAACCATGACAAGCCCATTGAAAAGAAAAATATAAAGACATTGTCTCCAATACTGGCGTGACATTTATTTTTTTCTCTTAATAGTAATGCATTGAAGATGCTCTAATGCTGTACTCGGATGCTTTTATCTTAACTGTGGATAGTGTCTTGCGGGAAGACGGCTAAAATCTCATGACACTACTTACGGGGTAGGGCTAATTTACCGCTTTACCCTCACTTATCAATCCACTACTCCCTACCGCTAATGATATAGGATAATTTAATAGAATGTTTATAAAAATTAAATTTCCTTTTTTCAAAATTTAATTAATTGATTTGTAATTAAAAAATATGAAAGAAATCAAAAACCATAATCTTTCATGTTATTATACTTAAAATGTTAATATAACTAGTTAAATCTAACGACAGACCAATGAATAGGCAAAATAAATGAATCATTTATTAATTTTCCCTTGAAAACAGTGGGTAAAAAAGAAATTTTTGCTATGACAAATGAAAAATATTGATATTTACACTGATCAATCTCTCTCTCCTCTTTATATAGTAGACTCCAAAACTACTCTCTTATTTCAAGTATGCAACAAAATTAGGTACCAACTTTTTCTTGGCCTTCTCTTACTACACTTGCATAAGCATTCTACTCCATGCTCAAAACCATCCAAAAGCCTTCACAATTTGTTCTTCTCCCTTCATTTTTCAGAATCACACAGCACAAAAAAATCCTCACAATGAGCATCCAGAGCCCACCGCCACACTGCCAAAGCCACGGGACCCACAAAAGCTCTTCGTACGCTGTGAGTTACGCTGAATGCCTCAAGAACCATGCGGCGGCAGCCGGAGGCACTGCCGTCGACGGCTGCCGGGAATTCTTGGCCGGAGGCAGAGAGGACACCATAGAATCCCTCACGTGCGCCGCATGCAAATGTCATCGGAATTTCCACCGGAGAATCTTATTAATGCATGTGGAAGCTCCGGCAGCTGGCGGCAGAAGGGCGAAGAAGAGGTTCCGGACGAAGTTTACTGGCGAGCAGAAGGAGGCGATGCTCGGTTTTGCCGAGAAGGCCGAGTGGAAAATGTCGAGGGCCGATGAATATGAGGTGAGGCGGTTTTGCGAGGAGATTGGTGTGAGTAGGAAAGTGCTCAAGGTGTGGATGCACAATAATAAGTATAGATTTGCTAAGAATAAGAACAATTGATCAAGTATTAATTGAAGCCATAATTATCTTTTTTGCTATCTATTAGTTTTGTGATTTGATTTTGCTTTATTAGATTGTTCTTGAGGACTACTAACTAACCACATGGATGTGTTGTATGAGTTGTTAATTGGACCAGATGATTCAAACTTTATGCCCCTGCCCTTTTTTCTTTAAGGGCCATTGAAGAAATGAATCAATTGTAATTTGAGGGAAGAATGCAATTTCATATATATTTCATCAGCCTAACTTGTTAACATTGTTTACTCAAATGGAAATATGATGAGAGGTTTATGTAGTAAACAAAGTACCAAATGCTGATGCTATTGCTAACAACAAACAGGCTGATGATCTGCAAGCGGTTGTATTTTTAGCATCTGCGTATGCATTTAGCTCTCATAATTGTGACGATTTCGATTCAAAATAAATCTATTGACACATGGCTCATTACTGAGAATCGTGTTTGCGTTTATCTGCGACGACTGGTCGTGGCTATTAATAATGTTACATTTATCACAGTAATAAGTCATCGCTATTAGAGTAAGTTCGGTTCTTTTCTAACTCGGTATCTCTTTCTTGCAGCCAATTCCGATCCAAACACCACTGATCGATACGGCCCTGTTCGCTAGCCTCCACTTTGATCATTTTCAGGTGATTTCCTTGCTTGTTGTGTTTGTAAGCTAGTTAGTAAATAGTGATGTTCTTGTTTTTTGTAGATCATTGTGTCATTGTAAGTAGTGGTATATATTCTTGTTTGTTTCTTGTAGATAATTGGCTTGGGATGCTTATGCATCAATGAGTAACTGATTCAGTTTACAAATGAATGACTCATTAAAGTGAATCTGGACAGTCCTTTTTAACCACTAAAATGAAATTAATCTTAGATTAAGAAGCCAAGGTACATACAAGAGCACCCATCAGCACTGGCGTTTTGCTGCATATTTCTTAAGTCTGTAGTTTGTCTAAGATCCGCTGTTGTTGTGGTTTTTAGCTGACAAACATTCCAATGCATTATACCTTTCAACCAAACCATAACTTCATATTGACCAATTCATTTCTGAAACTGCAAAATTGCTCTACTTATTGATGTAATAACAACTAACAAGCAGCATATCGGTGTTCGAGAAAAAAAGAGTTTGCACGCATGCCATCATACATTTTTATCCGAAAAATGAGTAATCAACACAACCTCAACCAAATGCCCGTTCACCTAAGTATGCCCTAAGTCGCACTTCACGTTTTTTTTTTTTTTTNTACAGTAGTAATGGGCCTGAGACCAGAATGTATTTGCCTTAGAATTCAGTGTCGAAGCATGATACCATAATCTTTGAAATCATCGACCGTGCAAATGGAATGTAGCTTAAGCTATACCTGTGCATAAGAAAAACTTGTATCAACTCATTTCTCCTCGAATAGACAACGAGAAGCAAACAATACCAGCCTTGTACGGATCATTTTTCTTCTTTTTCTTTACGGAAAATGAAAATATAAAATAAAAGGTAATTCACTTTTTCATCTGAACTAACACTAGAAGTTTCAAAACTACAAAATCAATAGAAAATTAATATTTCTGAAATTCAAGGTGCAATACCTACTATTGCTTCCTTATACATACAATTTTCTACATCTGGTTTGTGCAGTACTTGTGTGAACACAGTGCTTCCATAAAACTAATCTTTAAAGTTTAGACCAGGGAATCTTTCAAATTATGAATCGAATTAGACTCACCAAACAAGAGCACCAAACTCAAGCACGATTGCCAGAAGAGTCAATAGCTTGTTCCGAACCTAACTCATTCAGGTTAATAGAGAATCTCAGCGAGAGATGAAGAGAAAGATAAAGTGGTAAAACCGAAAGATAAAGCACAAGACACTTACATATACAGCACAAAAGAGAGCAACTATGATGCTAGCAATATATATTGCCGTAGCATATATACGAACAGGGTCAAGCATCATTGTCAGTTGTCTTTTAGGGCCTATAAGAAATGCTGTGCTGCCCAGAAAAACAATCAAGTTAGCATTTGAAAGCGAGTTTTCTACTAATGCCAAAAAAATGATAAAAGAAATGAGAACAGAAAACTATAAATGAAACCATAAATAAAACACTGATTAGCTAGCTTAGTGATCAGAAGTATGCAGATCTATGAGAAGACAAGTAATACAGATATGACAACTTTGTGAGAAAATTGTAAACAAAACGAAAGGGGACGTACTAAAAGAGTTCGACAAATGGCAAAAAGTTATTACTATTCCTTGAGATTGTCAAAAGAAATAACTTTTAGAAATGATAAAATGGCCAGGAAGAAAGAAGGAAAAAATCAATAACATGCAGCACAACAAGAAAGTGGGTCTATAAGAGTCATATCTAGTCAAATAATTTGATATGCAAAAGCAAAGCCATAAACATTTACAACAGGTATGGCACAATGTTATACGCCAATCATCTTCTAAACTTGAAAATAAAGTAGGTGAAACTGTAAGGACCAAGCAGCACAATCTAACTACTCCTAAGCAATATATTTGATGATATTGTGATTTGTTCATGCGGTTAGAACCATGTAGTTTATAGATATCAAAAGATATCTTGGACGCCACTTGATAACTTAGATAGTACGAATCAAAATTATGCAAAGATGTAATTTTACATATTATCTAGAAACAAACCTTCCAAGAGCGAGCAGATTGCCAAATGAGAAAGTTATTCCAAATTTGATGGGATGGAAGAAAACTAGCATTGACTGTCGACAGAAACACAAACCATGGTGAATCCAGTGCTCAAATACTGGAAAATTCTGACTGAAAATATGCACAAATTCTGGCGAAAACGCAACTAACTTAATCATCTTCAGCTCAAACAACAAAAGAAATGAGGACAGCTTACCAAGAGCGTGCAAGTAATACCGGCAGACAAGCAAATTGCAAACCCGTAAAGCCTCTGTCAACGGAAAATAGAACAAATACAAGTTTATCAAGAAAGATTACAAACGGCAAAATAAGGAACACTAATCCACAATAATTCCATCATCCATCTTGAAAACAATCACAGTATGCATCACTCTGCAAAAATCCTAACAAAATCTTACCACATTGAGATACGCATTGTTCCAAAATTCAATCGAAAAAATGCAGACACGGACTTAGCGTACTCAGTTCCCTGTTTACAGGTGAAAATTGAAATCAAGGGTTTGATCGGAAAAAAATACCTGCTTAGTGGACAAAGTGCAGTTTCGGTTAAAATCGTCGATGAGGGAAGATTCTTGCTGCTGTTCTTCATCGTCCACCTCCATTCCGACTAGCATTTTCATCTTCTCAAACGCCTGATTCATCTTATCCATTTTTCTACTAATAATCAACGATGGCTTCCTTTAGGAGACGAGATTATCTCAGATTACGGAATAGGTTTTGCTGTTCATGCCTGGTAGATCTGAAACTCACGATAAAGATTTTTGATTAATACTGCAAACACCAAACTGGGGCCTGAGAGTGAGATGAGCTTCAGCTACAAGCCAAGCCCTGCACCAACAAGATGAGATTTACACCACGACCCTTGTAAACTTGGAAATGTGTCTCTGGACCCTTAAGATTTCATATATTCCAAAGCATGCTCTATTCTCTGTTTAGACTTTAGATACTAGAATAAAACGATTCAATTTGATCTAAATTTTTTTCGCTATTTTTATATACTAAAATTAGTTTTTATTATTTTTCTGAGTCATTTGCATTATATAAATACGAATATATTAACATAAATTGAATATTTTTATACCATATATGAATCTTACCTTTCTTATTTTTGAGTTAAATATATATGAGATTTTTTTTTAAAAAAAAAAATGAATAATCGTATCTTTTAAATAAAGATTTGATAATTTTTTTATTTATCAATCATTTTTATAAATAACATATCAAATGAATTTCCTTTGACATGTATTTCATATATAAAATAAATAATAATCTTTTCTTTCATATCAAATAATATAATATTCATACATTTTTTTTTTTGGTACAAATAATATTCATACATTAATATCAATGTAAAAAAACATAACTTTTTTTTTATAGATAAATATGAAATACATTATGTGAAAAAGAGTAGCCACTAATATCCAAATCTGAGGACTATATTATTTGTTATACAGTTTAACTAACACGTAGACCGTTGACCGAGGACCATGTTTGAAGGTGTCTAACTAGCGAGTAATATTTTCCTTTTTTTAAATATATATTTTTTCTGAAACGATATGCTGTTGTCTTGTTCATTAGATCCACCCCTTATATTTCAAGCTACTTTCATTCGTTTTAATACGTTGACTTTGGGGCAAACTCACGCAGAGGCACAATTGTCCCATCTTTCTACAGATTCATATGGTAACACACCAAAATTTCATTCCGCTACCTTCATAAATTGATTCATTTTGATGGCTTTGTCAGAACCTTTTCAATCTGGTCAACAAAGTCAACACATGGGAGCCCTCAAGGCTTCCATTCTTTTTGGGTGATTGATTAAAGATATTCTTTTATATTTGATTGTTTCCGCTAATAAAGTTGGTTTTGTACAAAATTGAAATTTCATTTTTTTCTTAAAAATATTTATTTTTGGTTAACCGTGTGTATTTCACGTGCCTGGACTATAATTTGTTTTTGTTTATTTCCTTATTTTTTGGAGCCATTTTCTGATACGCACTCCCAAGTTTATGGCAGTTTTATGGAATTCAAAAGGTGGGAAATTTGTAGAAAGTACTTTTTAATTCCCCTTCTCAGTTTTCATAGGCTACTACCATATGAAAGTGCAAAAGTTTGTAGTCTTTTGCTCTCTGAATATGATTCTCAGTGGATGAACATTTGAAATGTTATGGTTATGCAAATCAGATAGCCATTTCTTCTGGAAATATCAATCATTTAGTTGAATTCTCATAATTTGGCTGCTGTTAAAGTATATAGTTATTTCCGATACTTTCTTCTGCAGTCGACTGTCCAAACAGGATTACCAAGGATAGGTAGACCGAGGGGTCGTTATCATGCGTTGACAGAACAGAAGAGAAAGGAGATAAAAGATGCTTTCGAACAGTTTGATACTGATAGATCTGGTATTTGATATTCTTGTTTGAGTAATGATTTATATTTTATGTCATGATTTCTTTGAAATGGAAAATCCATCTTCAATTAACTGAATGCAGGAACAATTGATGCCAACGAGTTGAATGAGGCAATGAGGTATGCGTATAGTTGTTTGTTACACTCGTTATCTTTTAAATAGTTTGAAGTAACAAAATAACATATTAATAATTTAGACGACTTGATCAATTTGCAGGGTTCTTGGTTTTGAGTCGTCAGAAGAGGTAAACGTTAATCGTAAAACTTATGAGTGTTAAACTACACTCCAACTGCTGCCTTATCTTTGTCCATTCTTTTCTTCGTATAATTTTTCTTTAAATTTGTGAAAGCGTGTTCAATTCCTGATTAACTTTTTGTTGATTCATTATTATATCTACAAAGTCGAGTAATATAAAATTGTGATGATGGTAATGAAAATATTGAATCTCTTCATACAGGAAATTACTCGAATTATAGCTGAAGTCGACAAAGATGGCAGTGGGACTATTGACTTTGACGAGTTTTGTTTCATGATGACAGCTAAATTTGGAGAAAGGGACACTATTGAAGAGCTCAAGAAGGCTTTCCGAACTATTGACCTTGACAATAATGTAAGTTTGTGGTGCATTTGACATTTTTTTAACTCTTCATAATGTAACTTTGCAGTGCATTTTACATTTTGTTTACTTATCGTGTTGATAACTGGCTCTTCATCATTTGAATGCAGGGGAGCATTTCTCTTGGAGATATTAGACGCACGGCAAATGTTGTGGGTGTAAGGTTCACTGAAAAAGAGCTTCAGGATATGATTAGGGGAGCTGATCGAGATAGTAAGTTAGCATAAATTCTACTTGGCGTACATTACTTTATATACCCTTGCTTCTCTAGTTTTGAACTACCAAGTCTTTGCAAATTTTGTCCCCATTTATAGGTTCTCTATTCACATTGCCAAAATCCCTTCTTTTAATAGTTTTTTAAGTTGTTAAAACCTCAATTTCGTGATAATTGGAGTGAGTGAATTTTCTATTTAGATTTGGTAATCTAAGGAAAATTCCGCTCATCGTTTCAAGTGAAAGTTTAAGGTTGCAATTGAATATCTCTTCATTAGTTTTCTATTAATGTGTTTCGTTCCGGTGAAATGTGCAGATGATGGTGAAGTTAGTTTGGACGATTTCTTCAAGATAATGAGTCGAACCTCATATGGATGCTAAAGCTATGCATTAATCACGTACTCAATTTCTCAGCTCTGCAGAGTAATAGTTCATGTTGTTCCATACATTGTACAATATGTCTGTGAACGAGGAACAACACAGTTTGTTCTTTGATTTAATCACTTCGAGTTTCAATTTACCAATTAAAAAAAAAAACCCATATTGGTGTGAATTTGTTTACGTGTATATTATAACATGCCTACTTGTCGCCGTGCAGTATGCTCCTCCCGTTTGGGGGCAAACTGTTCGAATCATTAAGACTGAATATCGTCATGTTGTTGTATCTTGATTATATATTACTCGGCTTTGTCTGTGTCGATACTTCATTTTTTATTTTATTTTTTTCCTTAAATTTCTTTGGTATAATTTTGTTTTCCATAGATTGCATACACTACCTTTGAAACCACTTGACAAATTTTGTTAAATCCCATATCACACAAAAAAGAAACTTTTATGCATTCAAAAAAACACTACAACGACACGGCCCGTTTTTTACTAGTTGACCCGTCTGCAGTTGTCCCTGACCTCGCCGTTGGGCCCTTCCTTGACATCCAATGTTCCCATCTTCACCATGGACCGTTGGAAGTCCAAGAAGAATGAGGCCGGGTTCATGGCGTACCCGTTAACAAAGGCCCGTGTGGCGGGGCCCACAAACAGAGTCTGGTCCGAGAACAGGACACCTGTCCCCCTCTGCAGGGCCCTGTAGTATTGGCCGTCGAAGACCGTCCTTGTGGAGTCGAAGGGCTGCTCTGCCATGTCACCCTTGCTGCATGTGGCGGAGAGCGTCTTTGCAAACTGCGGGTCCAATGTGGGGTCCGCGTTTCGGTTCAATCGGCTCTTGAACGACAAGCACCGAGCCACACCAAGGGTGTGGGCCCCTGTGGATGGTTCAATCTTATTTATGAGAAACTTTTATGTGTTTGTTTTGGTAAATATTATAAGCTAGCTTATAGCTTATTTTGTTAGCTTATAAAAGACAAATCTTTTTCAATGAAAAAATCGAGCTTATCTATAGGTAGCTCTTCAAATAAGCCCGTTGAAACTTTTATTTCAACTGGCTCAATAAATTTTACCAAATACTTTTATCATGTCAGCTAGCTTCTCAGAGCTAAGTCATATGCTATCATCTATGAACTCAAAAATTATTTATAAACTATCAGCTAACTTATCATCTTACCAAATAAGTTTCCCAAACATAGTCTACATACATAAGAAGTTGAGTAGGTAGTAAACTAAGTTTTAACATTTAACTTTATTTACCAGACAAAGCCACCATTTCTCGAGCGCTAAATCCACGCCGCGAAAACATGTCGATGAGCTCCGTACTGTTGAGGTTCGGTGGCGGAAGTCGGACCGTGTCCTCAATCTTCGATCTCCACCCGTCTTTCCTTCCTTTCGGTATCTCGTAATACGGACCTCCCGACTGAACAAAGTATAACAAAACAACATGCAAACAAGAATTTTCCCAAAGTTCAGGGGAGTAAATGTGCAAAAATAAATTGTTACAAAACAAAGTATATACTTACAAAGAAAACAGCATCTCTAGCAGCCATGGCCAGGATATCGGCGCACGAAACGACTCCAGGGCACTGTCTCTCGAGCGCCTCTTTAGCAGCATCGATTATTTCGTATCCCCTTAAGCTAAGATTGGCCGGCGAGTCTTTTTCCGCCGTGTTGTTTTTAGTCGAGTCGATCAATATCGACCCGTCACATCCCTATTTATATATATAGAGATACAAAAAATGAACGAAAAATCTTAGTTATTACAAAAACTACATAGTATATATCNAAAAAAAAAAAAAAAAAAATAGATGAAACCTCGACAAAACAATCGTGAAAATGCATTCGAAGGAGTGGCCCGGAAAGGGTCGGGTCAGATATCAATGCCGTACGCACGGTATTCTTTATGATGATGTCAGCAATCGGGCACGTGATTACGTAGTAGTTCATGCTCAGCCCGTCGGCCATCGTGTTCGCCAAAAGTGCTACTATAGCCAACACTTTGAGATTGAAAATGGCCATTTTCATCAGTTGAAAATTGAGAAGTTGTGTATATATTCTAAGCTAAGCTGGATATCAATATTGAACTGCTTGATTTGAAGCTGATGAAGAGATTTGTCATATGTATGTGCATATTTATATACAAGGCTTGCCAACATGCATGGGGAAAAAGTTGTATATGGACCTAGCTAGTGGATGGTGGTGGTGATTATGAAATCAGGATTTGAAATTTGGATTGGATAATTATTTCTATAAGTTTTAATTTAATGCTGTTGGGCACTTATTTGGTGTGGGTGTAATATGCCATCTGTTAATGATTTAACATATATTATTACTAGTACAATATCCATGTACTACACGAGTGCTTGTTAAAAAAATTATTCTTAAATTTTAAAATTAATGCGAAAAGAGTGTTTATTTAAACATATTTTTACAAAAAATATATATTATTATATATTTTAGAATGACACTTGTTACTTGTACGACTTATATGTTTTATATAATAATAATTTTTTTAACTTATATCATATAGTTACTTTAAACATAAATATATTATTTGACAAATTATTTTTTTAAATTAATATTAATAAATAATTATATTATTATTAAAAAGATAAATATAATTTATTTATTTTATAAATACAATATGGATATAAAATCGAAGCTCACCAAGAAATGATTAATTTGATATATATTATATATGTAAAACTGATAAGAAATACAAAAGTTAGTAACACTTTAAAATACATTTATTATTCAATGGTTATAATAGGAAATGATATTAATATACAACTAATACATTTAAAATGACATCTATACTTATATAATAAGAATTAACATTTATCCAAAATAGTAGGTCAAATTATGGTCAATGTCGGATTTGCATTACATATTTTCCAAAACCGGTAAGTTTTTGTCCTTTTCACACTTCTCATTAATTATGTCATTTTCCCACTTCTCATTAATTATGTCATTTTCACGCTTCTCATTAATTATGTCCTTTTCACACTTCTCATTAATTATGTCCTTTTCACACATCTAATTAATTCATTAATTACGACATAATTATCATAAATCATTTCATCTGACCTTTTATCGTTAAAATGTATAGCGATCTGTTATGACCTTATCCCATTGATATTTCCAGGAAGCGTCCTTATGGCGTTCTATTTTTTGGTAACCACTCTATATCAATAACCGGATATTTGGTTAATGATAGCACACGTCTTTATTTCAAGGAACCGATATTCTTTGACCTTTAATTAATCTGAACTGATTGCCTTGACTTTTCAATTTTTAAAAACTCCTTTTTTAAATATTTCGGCTTAAGATTCGGATTTCATTATACAAGTCATCGGATTGTTTGAATGAAAATGAATGAAAAAAACACCAAAAACAGGTAGCCTTATTCATATAATCAGTCCTAAAATATTAGTTTGTTCACCAAAAATAGACAAATCCTAAAAATCCTACAATATTAGTTTGTCCACCAATTCTAAAATATTAGTTTATTCACCAAAAACATTAGTTTGATTTTTAGGATTTGTCTCTTTTGAAAATATTAGTTTGTGATAATGAGGAGTTACCAAATAATCAAACTCATAATGTTGTGTACAAGGAGGTTTTTAATAATATATGATTGTTACCGAACTTTTTATGATTTAACAATGTTCCTATGTATTTTAATGATTTCAATTTCGATCTTAATGCACGTGAGGTTATATTATTTTTCCAAATTTTACATCCCGTGCATCGCACGGGTTACGTACTAGTAAATAATTAACATATTTATGGATAATCTGAATTTAATTATTTTGGGATTTGAAATAAATTAAAATCTATCCAAACCAAATAATGAAGCATTAAATTTTGTCACATAAGATTCCGAAACATGCAGTATGCTACCTAAACTTAGCGCATTCGATAATTATATATAAGGAGATGTGGATATTAGGGCTGCCCATAACTACAAGAAGTTTTAAATTAAGACAGACTTGGAAAACTGAGTTAAGGAATAAGGTAAAGTGACTGCCATATATACATTCACAAATAGTAATCTTTTCAGGTTTGTCTTTATTGAAAATTTTTAAATGGTACCGTGACTCTGAAAATATTATGGTGGTATCCATTTGGATTCTTAAAATTGGTTGGGACTTTAAAATTTTTTGATCTATTTGATTCACTACAAGAAAATGGTGAAATTTCAACATAAATATATTCTAATAAATTATTCTAACGGCAATTCCAATAGATATTTCAATGCTATTATTTTCCTTGGAATTCTTCAATGGATTCCAACAGAAATTCCAACAAGAATATTCCATTGGAATGAGTTTCCCATTAGAATTTCAGTTGGATTTTGACGATTCCAACGGTAAATTTTTCAACGGAGGTAGAAATAAAAATACCAACGAAAATTTCTACGGTAAAAAGCCGTTGGAATCATCAAATTCCATCTAAAATTCCAATTAAAAGCACATTCCAACGGAAATTTCTGTTGGAATCATTCAAACGGATGTTATACAATTGGAATATCCATTGGAATTTTCATTGGAATATATTACTATATAGAGGCGGATCTAGGTTTAAGATGGAGGGGGGGAGGGGGGGGGGCATTGTCCCCCCAAAATTTTTAACTTTTAGTATATATATATGATAAGCATATCATTATTCATATAAACTCATACAAATATATTAAAATAATAATTATATTACTCTTTCTCCTAATAATTCAACTACAAAATTATACATTTTTTCCACTTTTTTATAACATTTTTTTAATTTAAATAAATTGAATGTATGAAAAATATGTGAATACATAAAAATTGGTAATTCTTGCAAAAGAAGTCCATATAAGATAAGGTTTATGGAAAGAAAAAATATCAAAAACTATTAGTATTGAGTCAATCATTAATGAAATTCATGAGTTTAGAGAGCGTTCAATCTAAATTTGTTATTGTCAAGGTTTGAGACTTTATAATTCATATTGTACTATTATTATATATAATTTTATATAGTTTTGCTATGGAGCCATCCACACTTATTCACCAATAGTGTACTGACACGTGTCCTGTCAATAAATACAACTAGTGCGTGGTCCGTGCGATGCACGAAAAAATAATATTACGATTGTATTATAAGTTAAATATATAAATAACATTAATCATGATTTATTCATTGTTTTTAAATTAAACCGGGTTGGACACAGTCCGAACGGATTGACCGATAACCGGTTTATAACCAGTCGATTGGACTGGTAGGATCAATACGATTTTCTAAATAAATTTTATTATATTTAAAATTATTTTAATAAAATTATATATTTAAATAAAATAAAGATTTATAAATTATTTATTAATTAGTTTAAACACTGAAATTTATAAATTGTTTAGATATCTAAGTAACACATTTTATTTAAATTTATTACAAAAAGTACTATGTATATATTATTAAAAATTTTATAAATTAAAATCTGAACAAACCACAAATGATTTAATCAAATAGTTTGATTGTTTCAATGACGGTCCAGTTTTGAAAACCTTATATTTAGTGTATATTAATAAATATTATTCAATACACATAAATATTAATAAAATGATATGTAAATATTCATAAATAATTAAACATGTTGTCATAAAAGTATTATTAATACGATTATTTGAAATTCGGACTACATAACATTCATGTAATAAAATATTTTCAAAATAAAATTTATATTTAGGTTCAATAATCGATTTGGTGTGGTCGAATTGATACATAACTTAATAAAAAATAAACATAGTAATTTTCAAAAAATTAAGATTAATTGTTTGATTATGCAATTTAAAGAATATTTTTAGCGTATAATATTTTTTTAAAGGCTCAAATATAAAGACCGAGATTCTAAAACTTTTGTTATATTTTGAATTGAGATTTTTTAAATATAGAGACCGAGATTTTAATGTTGTTCGTTGTTTCTAAGAAAAAATAAAAATAAAAACATACACACTTAATAAATCTTAGCCGTATTTTTTAAATAATAAAATAAGCTAAATCCCGAAATTTAAAGCAACAATTAATGCTGCATGTTTTTTAAGAAAAATAATAAAACTTACTATTTATAGGCTTCATTAAATTCTGATCTATTTTTTTGCTACTATTTTTAGTAAATGGTAATTCTTATATTATATATATTTGGACAGGTGTCAATACATTATGTGGTGGATGGCTCCGTAAGAAAATCATCCGATGGCTCCATAGAATTTTTGTAATTTTATAATACAACTTTCTATTTTTTATGTACATTAATTCAAAATATATAGCCCCCTTCAAAATAAATTTATGGATCCGCCCCTGTTACCATAGGATTTTTCGTTGGAATATAACATTTTTTTTGTAGTGATTTGGACTTTTTAAAGCTTTTAAAAATATTGAGATGTTCATTTGAAATTTCAAAAAGTTTTAACAAATCATATCGTATTTAACTTATTTGACACTGAAATTTATAGTGACTTTTTAAGATTTGTTGGTATTTCATAAATAAAAAAAATAATAAGAAGAAGAATCTCTCCATGAACCTTACCTTCAAACTTAACATATCCAATTATTCATGTTAAATCTTAAAAATGTTAAAAAGTCCCCAATCTAAAAAAGTCTTAAAATGTATCGTAAAATCACCTTTCTTTTACTTAATTATCAATTAATTGTTTCATAAATTTTAAAAGTGATCAATTTAAAAATAGTTGTTAACTTGATCTGTGTAATGAATTTGATACCAGATATGAGAGCACGAGAGAAGGTGAAACGAGAAAAAAGAGAGAAAAATAAAATCTGATATATAGAATATGAATGAATAAAATTGTCTATGTACAGTATGTAAGAGCATCTCTAATGCATTCTTTTGAAAGAGTAAAAAGTTATCTACCTTATTTAGATAGAAAGTGTGTAAATAATTTATCCTCAAATACATTAGATTATGAGTCATTTCATGCTTATGTGTAAAAAATTAATGTTAACATTGTCAAACTCACTTTCTAATTTCACACATTCTTTCTAACATGATGACTCATCATTTTGATAATTATTTGACATAAATTTTGAGCTTATCATAAACTTAAAAAAATCTCACCCTTAGATTTATCCAAGAAAAAATTTGAGAATTTATTTGAATACAATAAAATTATTTGATGAGTTACAATTAATTTTTTTTA